AGACACAGGAGGAAGGAGAAGCAGGCTCCATGCCGGGAGCCCGATGTGGGACTCGATCCTGGGACTCCAGGATCACCTCCTGGGCCAGAGGCAGGCGCTAAACCACTGAGCCACACAGGGATCTCCCCCAACTATTTTTTTTAAAGCAGGCTCCACAGAGTCCAATGCGGGGCTTGAACTCACCACCCTGAGATCACCTCCTGAGCTGAGATCAAGAGTCAGACACTTAACTGACTGAGCCACACAAGCACCCCTGTTGGCAATAGGATTACTGAGCCAAAGAGCATGGACAGATATTTATCATGACTTTAGCTGAAGATCACTACAAAATGCCAAGTAAGTTAAAGTGAAGCCACACATCCACCCTCTCACTCAGCCCTCAACAGCCCTCTCCACATTTAGAGCTTCATACAGCTTTATTTCCTGCAGCATTTCACTCTCTGTCCGCGTGTCATCATTGGGGCCCTAGAATGCCTCCAGTAGTAAAAGCTGTACCAAGAGGAAATGCTTCATTCCAACGTGGGCCTCCAGCCCAGGGGACATTACGGAGAGTGGCCCCGAGCAGCTGATTGCTGGAACAGGCAATCCATTCCCATCTCTCTCATCTCCAGGCTGTCCTTCCTGTTTTCGGAATCTCATACTCCAAAGCCAAATTCACAAAGTCAAAAGATGAGTTACAGATGTACTTGTCTAGGAAATCCGTTCCCTGGGCAGCCCCGGTGGCTCAGCGGTTTAGCACTGCTTTCAGCTCAGGGCATGATTCTGGGGACCCGGAATCGAGTCCCACATTGGGCTCCCTGCATGAAGCCTGCTTCTCCCTCTGCCTGTGTCTCTGTCTCTCTCTCTCTGTGCCTCTCATAAATAAATAAAATCTTTTTTAAAAAATTAAAAAAAAAATTCCACTTCCTTTAGCAAGGCCCTGACTATATAGCCAGTTGATGGGAACTCCCCCTACAACTGTCTGGAGCTCCACTCCACCCCCACCCCTGCCCCACCCTGCTACCTGGTGCAGGGGGGGCGGGGCGGGCCCAGCAGTAAGTGTGGTGGGAAAGAGCCCTGGTTTTGCAGCGGGACAGAATTGCTCCGTGACTTGCAAGTTGTTAAATTTCAGAAGACTGATTTCTCTCAGATTGGATTTCTTCGTGTATATATTGGACCTAATAATATCTATCCTTTCGTTCATTTAACAAGTTCGCTGAGAGGCAGAGCAGAAATGTAATGGAAAGAGCAAGGACAGGGGACAGGCAGAGAGAAGGCGGAGTCCTACTTTTGCAACTAACCGTATTTCATTATATCTGAGACATCACGGATTGCAAGAGAGGTCATTATTTTATGTAACCTTAAGAGACGATACTGCCAAGGGGCACCTGCCTGGCTCGGTGGAGAGCCTGTGACTCTTGATCTCAAGGTCATGAATTCAAGTCCCATGTTGAGTGTGGAGGCTACTTAAAAAAAAAAAAACACACACACACACACACACAGGGCAGCCCTGGTGGCTCAGTGGTTTAGCGCCGCCTTCAGCCCAGGGCGTGACCCTGGGGTCCCTGGGTTGAGTCCCATGTTGGGCTCCCTGCGTGGAGCCTGCTTCTCCCTCTGCCTGTGTCTCTGCCTCTCTCTCTCTCTCTCTCTCTCTCTCTCTGTGTCTCTCATGAATAAATAAAATCTTAAAAAAAAAAAGTCTATGTTAAAATGTCACCAAGTCTGGAATAGAACCTTAACTATAAAATATAATGCGAAGAGATAAGAAACTGTCAGAATTTGGCTTTTAAAAAAAAAAGATTTTATTTATTTATTCATGAGAGAACAGAGAAAGAGAGAGAGAGAGAGAGAGAGAGAGAGAGGCAGAGACAGGCAGAGGGAGAAGCAGGCTCCATGCAGGGAGCCCGACCGGAAACTCGATCGATCCTGGATCTCCAGGATCCCGCCCTGGGCTGAAGGCGGCACTAAACCGCTGAGCCACCAGGGCTGCCCATAGACTTTTATTATATCATTTTTTCTCCAGTTCAAAGATTGCATTTTTAATTTATTAAATTTTTTTCAAAATTTTATTAAATTCTAGTTAGCATATAGTGGAATATTGATTTCACAGTAGAATTTAGTGATTCACCACTTACATACAACACCCAGTGCTCATCACAAGTGCTCTCTTAATGCCCTTCACCCATTTAGTCCCTCCCCCCCACTTCCCTCCATCAACTCTCAGGTTGTTCTCTATCGTTAAGAGTCTTTTATGGGGGGATCCCTGGGTGGCCCAGCGGTTTGGCGCCTGCCTTTGGCCGGGGGCGGTATCCTGGAGTCCCGGGATCAAGTCCCACGTCGGGCTCCTGGCATGGAGCCTGCTTCTCCCTCCTCCTGTCTCTGCCCCTCTCTCTCTCTCTATGTCTATCATAAATAAATAAATAATTTTTTTTAAAAAAGAGTCTTTTATGGTTTGCTTCTCTCTGTTTCTCCCTTCCCTATGTTCATCTGTTTTTTTTTTTTAAAGAAATTTTTAACTTTTATTTATTTATGATAGTCACAGAGAGAGAGAGAGGCGCAGAGACATAGGCAGAGGGAGAAGCAGGCTCCATGCACTGGGAGCCCGATGTGGGACTCGATCCCGGATCTCCAGGATCGCGCCCTGGGCCAAAGGCAGGCGCCAAACCGCTGCGCCACCCAGGGATCCCTGTTCATCTGTTTTGTTTCTTAAATTCCACATATGAGTGAAATATGGTATTTGTCTTTGACTGACTTATTTTGTTTAGTATAATACGCTCAAAAAAAAGTATAATACCCTCTAGCTCCATCCACGTTGTTGCAAATAGCAAGATTTCATTCTTTTTGATGGCTGAGTAATATTCCATTGTGTGTGTGTGTGTGTGTGTGTGTGTGTGTGTGTGTACACACAACTTCTTCATCAGTCAACAGACATTTGGGCTCTTTCCATAATTTGGCTATTGTTTATAATGCTATAAACATTAGGGTGCATATGCCCCCTTCAAATCAGTATTTTTATATCCTTCAGGTAAATATCTAGTAGTGCAATTCTGGGATTGAGAGCAGTTCTTTTTTTTTTTTTTTTTTTTTTTTTAGGTTTCCATACTGTTTTCCAGAGTGGCTGCACCATTTTATATTCCTATCAATAGTGCAAAAGGGTTCCCCTTTTACCAAATCCTCACCAACATCTGTTGTTTCCTGTGTTGTTAATTTTAGCCATTCTGACAGGTGTGAGGTGCTATTTCATCATGGTTTTGATTTGTATTTCCCTAATGATGAGTGATGTTGAGTGTCTTTTCATGTTTTGGATGGCCATCTGAATGTCTTCTTTGAAAAAATGTCTATTCATGTATATCACTCTTCATATACACAAAAATGAAAATGTATGCAAAATAAATTGGCTAACATTGTCAAAACCCTCTGACCAAAGACCACCAGGAACACAGCTGCTGTAAAAGAAAGTGAGGTTTATTCAACTTGCTGCTTTAAAGGTAAAGGTACCCTAGGGAAGCCCATGTGAGTCTCTAAATTCAGGCTTGCACTCCAAGGTTCTGTGGAGGGATTAAGGAAGTGAGGGATCAGCTCTGGATTGAACTCTGTCAAAAAGCAGGGACAACTTAGAAACTGGGTATCTTTATTTTTTTTTAAATTTTTATTTATTTATGATAGTCACAGAGAGAGAGAGAGAGAGAGAGGCAGAGACACAAGCAGAGGGAGAAGCAGGCTCCATGCACCAGGAGCCCAACATGGGATTTGATCCCGGGTCTCCAGGATCGTGCCCTGGGCCAAAGGCAGGCGCCAAACCGCTGCGCCACCCAGGGATCCCAGAAACTGGGTATCTTTAAAACGTTCCTCTAGGATACAGGAGGATGCAAGCAGAGCTGGAGTGATCTATGGTAAAGGAGCAGCAATCGCTCAGAGTCATCTTTGTGGTCACCAAGTGGCCTTGCCTATGTCGCATTCTGAGCATGATTTATTTCTGCTGGTAACATCACCGTATGAATATCAAAGGAGCGATCTTAAAAAAAAAAAAAAGAGCGATCTTAAACTGTCTTGATATTCTTTTTTTTTTTTGTCTTGATATTCCTAAAACTTCACAGTGATGTCCATTATAGAAAGCATGCCCATACTAAGGATGTTAAAATGTAGAGAAAACACTCATTTTAGATTTGATGAAAAAGGATTCTTGCTGTTTTACCTTGGGCAAGTAATTTACCCTTTAAGCTTCAACTTCCTGCTCTGTTAAATGGGAACAATACAGTCTACTACATAAGACTTATGAGGACAGAGGCACCAGGGTGGCTCAGTGGTTGAGTGTCTGCCTTTGGCTTAGGTCATGATCCCAGAGTCTTGAGATCGGTCCCACATCAGGCTTCCCGGAGGGAGCCTACTTCTTCTGCCTATGTCCCTGCCTGTGTCTCTCATGAATAAATAAAATCTTGGGGGGGGGGGAGAAGAAAGGCTTGTGAGGACAAAGTGCCTTAGTATAGTATTGAGTGTATTACTCGGAGTCCAATGGGGGCAATAGGAATTACTCTAAGTAGGTAAAACAAAGAATTTAATGCAGGGAATTGGTGACACCAGTGACAGGGCTGAGTAGTCCAACAGGGGATAGAGAGGTAACCCAGAGATTAGCAATGACAGGACACTCCCCATCACTTCTAAACTGGAGGGACAAATGGAGGAGACGGAATTAATGTAGGCTGGAAGTGAAGATCATCCTCCAAAAGTTGGAACCATGGCAGCCTATCCAGTAAGAGCTAGAGCCACAGAGGAGCTTTATCTACAGCTGGAGACCTGCCCAAACCTGAGCAAGCGACAGAAAGAGAAGAAACACACTGGCTTTATCCTCCCTTCGATTTTCTAGTCTCCTGCCACTGGCTCCCAATGGCCTAACCCAGACCTGAAGGCCCCAGTCCTGGGAGCCTGGGGATCTGCCCCGCGCAGGGCAATGCAGAGGGGAGCAGAAGGTCAACGAAGGGATCCCTGCAAAAGTTACTAGGTGATCATGAGGTAGAAATGACTTAAACCAGCTTGGTTAACACCTTTATTTGAAAAATCTTTAAAGTCCTGGATACACTTGAAAGTAACAAAATTCTTCACTTAAAGACCTGTGGTCGTCCTGATAATACTGGTTCGTATCTGCCCTCCAGCCTCCAACCTACTCCACACGTTATTCTGAATTCCTTCTGTGTCTGGTCTGATTCGGTGGCATTTCAAGATGGATTTCCAGCGTCAGACATTTTCTCAACCGAAATCTCAGGAGAGTTCCTACAGCAGAGATGCCCATTCTACGTCACAGAGATAAAAGCTCACTCAGATTGTACCGAGCGGGATTATGATGCAGCAGCGTGTCATGGCAACCGGACCCTGGTCTCGGGGCTCTCAAGGATTCGTGTGACCTTGAGGAGGCTCAACATTTCTAGACTCACGTTAAAAAAAAAAAAAATGGCAATCAAAACCCTCAGGCGGTTTGCGCGCGCCCACACTCCACTTGGCTCTTCCATCGTCGCCTCCCCTCGTCCGGGACACTCCGCGGTGTTTTCGGAGAGGAAGGATGAGGTCGTCTAAGAAAACAGAGAGCGAGCCCAAGGTCACAGCGCGGCGGACAGTCAGGAGTCCCGTCCGCCTTCCCAGGCCACGGCCCTGCTCACCGCCCCGCCGCTTCTTTTCCCGCCTGGGCATCTCCTGGCCGAGGAAGGCTCGTTCGGGAAAGGCACAGGCGACCCCAGCACCCCTGGGGCCCCCGCGAGCGCTCTCGACGCCCGCCCAGGGGCCGGCTGGCAGCCCGGGGGGCGCCCCCCGCGCGCCGGGTCTCGGGCCTCTCCCGGCCGGCAGCGCCCCCCTCCGCGCCCAGGCCGGCCCCAGCCCGCGGCCCTCCCCGCCACCCTGCGGGTCCCGGGGAGGCTAACGGAGCCGCGTGCCCGGGGCGGGGCCACGTGCGATTGGCCGCGCGGGGTCGGGGGCGGGCCCGCGGCGGGCCGGCCGGGCGGGCGCCGACAATGAGCCTCCATAAAAGGGAGCGGCGGGGGCCTGGGGCCCCGGATTGAGCCCTCCCCGCCCGGGGTCCCGACGCGCTCGGTCTCGGGGAGGCCCGGACGCGCCCTCGCAGGCCGGGCGGTGAGCGGCGGGCGGCGGGGAGGGGGCTGCAGGGGCGGGGGCGGCCCCTGGCGGCGCGCCCGGCCTCCGGCGTCCGGTCACCGCGTCCCCCCCCGCCCCCCGCCTCGGCCGCATCATGGCCCTGAAGGCCGAGGGCGCCGCGCTCGACTGCTTCGAGGTGACGCTCAAATGCGAGGAAGGGGAGGACGAGGAAGAGGCCATGGTGGTGGCCGTAATTCCACGGCCCGAGCCGATGCTCAGAGGTGAGGCTGGAAGGGGACCCCACTTCCGCGTCACGGTGCGGGCCCGGGCGCCCCCTCCCCCTCCGCCTCCGCCTCCGCAGCCAGGGGCTCCGGCGCCCCTTCCCCCTCCGGCCTGGGACCCGGGCGCCCCCTCCCCCGCTCTGGCTCCGCCCCCTCCAGGGTTTGGAATCTGGGGCCTCCCCGAATTCCCTCTCCCCCGCCCCCGTCCGGGGTCTGGAGCCTTCGATCCACGCCCGGCGCGCTCCGGATCTTCCGGTGCCCGAGCGCCCCCTCGCCCGGGCCCCGCACCGGCGGCCGCGGTCTCCCGCCCCGCGGAGGCGGGGGCTAGGCTGTGCTCCGGGCCGAGGGGCAGCGAGGCCTCCAGGCCCGAGGCTGGGCGCGGCTGCCTGCTGTCCGGAGAGAGCTGGAGGATGCCGCCCGCCCGCCCCAGGGAGGATTTTCAGGGCCCTCTACACGGAAAGCTTTCCTGTCCCCCAACCCCTCTTTGCATCTCCTGCCTAGCACTTGAGTAAGCCACAGGTGTCAGATTCTAGCGCTTCTGGGGTGAATGGGATACTCAGTTTCGAAAAAGAAGTGCTTGCTAGGGGTACCCTCTGCCACGCAGGAAGGAGCTTGGCCTCGGGAGGGGATAACAGGAACGGTCTGGGAACACTTGCTTTCCCCTCCCCCCTTACCAGTTTCTTTAGTCCGCAGGATCTTGCAGACCATTAGAAAACAAAGGGCCGTCTTAACGGAAAAGTTAATACTGGTGAAAATGCCAAAAAAAAATTTTCGTAGAAATGCGAACGTGTGTTTATTTTAAGATACCTCTTCCCATAAAGGGGATTGTACCCAAAAGAGAGAGCAAGGCCATTTATTTAATCCCCGCAGAACACGCTATCTCCGCTATCTCCGTGCACTGCCTCTCAGCCTTTTTTGGAATCTGCAGGGATTTAAAACAAGCCGAGGAAATGAAAGCTGCTGCCCTTCTCAGAGCTTTAGATCTAGCAGAGGTTCTTTTCTGTATTTGTGCTAGTATTTACTGAGTGCTGGATGCTAGGCTGCGTGAATTAATTGTTTCAACAACCCTTTAAGGGAGGCCCTATTCCCCACTGTTACGGTGGGGAAACAGAAGTCGAGAGAAGTTAATTCACTCAACAGGTTTTTATTAGTAGCACCTATTATAAACGAGGCAGTTTTAGGCTGGACATGAAAGTGGTTATGAACAAAGATGTAACGTCTCATCTACATATATGTATAAATAAACGACCAAAGACAAATGTAATTCAGTGCATAGGGTGTCAGGTGCCGATATATGGTTCAGAGAACACCAGAGCAAAGGGAGGAGAAAATGGATTGGGAGGCGTTTTATTAGGAATACCAAGTAGTCAGAAAGGCTTCTTTTCCAATGTGAATTTTGAGCCCAGACTCCCAGGATGGGAGAGAACGAACCTTTGTGGATGATGGGAGGGAAAGCATCTTAGGCAGAGAGAATGGCAAGTGTAAGTGTCCTGAAGCAGAAGCTTTTTGAAAGAGGTTAGAGGAGAAAAGGATGAATTCAAGGCTTTTGACCTGAGCACCCAGAAGGACAGGCCTCTCGCATCCCAAGACCAGGCGACTAGGATGCAAGCATATGAAGACAGAGAGTTAAGATTTGAATGGGGCGAGTTTGAGATGCCTGTGACACATTCAAGCTGTAAGGCCAGATAGGCATCAGACACATGCATTTCAGTGCCACTGGAGAGTGGCTGGAGGTATAGATACGGGAGTTGTCAGCAGGCAGGCAACGGGACAACACCTGTCAGAGGAAGGAGTTAGATAGGAGAGGTCTAAAAAACTGAACTGCGGAGCTCTCTCCAGTGACTGCAGGTTGGAGATTGAGTCAGTCCCTCATCAAAGATTTCTGAATGCCACTGCATGCCAGGCATTGTTTTTGATGCTGGAGGTCCAGGTGTGAACAATCCAAAGTCTTGCTGTCCTGGAGCTTACTGGGCAGTGGGGAGGCATGGTGCACAAGTAAAACACATGTTAGGTCTGATGGTGGTGTGGGCTGAGGAGCAGGACATGAGGGGTAAAGGGGAATGGGGTGTCCAGCTTTCTGCAGGAGGCAAGAGAGGGCTGTGGTAAGAAGATGGTTCTTCAGGCTTTTCCTTGAAAGAAATGAGAGCTGCACAGGCACCTGAAAAGAGGTGAGGAGGACCCAGTACCAGCAACTGCAAGAGAGCCCCGGGGAAGAAAGGAATGAATCAACAGGAGGCAGTGCCTGGAAGCCAAGTAACAAAAACCTAGATGGAAGAAGTGACGAGCCAAATGATGAAATTTAAGAACTGACAGCCAGGTTTAGCTTTGGTGACCTTGACGGGAGTTGTTTCAGAGGAGTGGTGGGAAAGAAAGCCCAATGGCAGTCAAGAGGTCAAGGTTACTGTGCATGGTCACATGGGACATAGGAACAGCCCAGCCTCGGACCTGAATCTTCTGAGTCCTGGCCACTTCTCAGACCCGTTTCATATGCCACTTATCCATACGGTTCCCAGACGTCAGGGCCCCTCATATTTTACTTCATCCCATCTTCTCAGATGGGAAGGAGATGCAGTTACAAAAGATCAAGGGGTCTCTGCTGCAGAAGCATGGAGCTGCCAGGCTAATGGGGGTCTAAGGCTGCCTTTGTTGAACCGGAAAGAATTCCTGCCCTGCCAGAGCTTGTGGCCCATGTGCACAGAGAACAGATGCCAGGCAGACCCTTGGGAATGAGATCACCCCTGCAAATGCTCTGGGAGGTGGGAGAGGGATCGTGATGGGGTGTGGCAGCCTTCTGAAGGGTCCTTGCCAGGTGGAGAAACAGGCATGCCTGTTCTTTGCTGACTGCAGGCTCCCGGAGCATCTCCTAGGTGGCAGGCCCTGTGGGGGCAGTGAGACAATCAGATGTTCTCAAGAAAGTATGCAGCATGGCCTGGAAGTCAGAGGTGGATATAATCAACCGTCGGGGTGGGAGGTCCCAAAGGCTTCCCAGGAGTGACAATGTGAGCAAGGCCATAAAGGAAGTGTAGGAATTTGTCAGACCAATCAGAATGGTCTAGATGGATGTGCCAAAGCGGAAGACCTGCAAGAACACAGCCTGTTGGAAAACCCTGTGGTCTGAAGTCAGATTGAAAGGAGATATACAGGGGATCCCTGGGTGGCTCAGCGGTTTGGTGCCTGCCTTTGTCCTGGGATGTGACCCTGGAGTCCTGGGATCGAGTCCCACATCGGGCTCCCTGTATGGAGCCTGCTTCTCCCTCTGCCTGTGTCTCTGCTTCTCTCTGTCTCTCTCTCATGAATAAATAAATAAAATCTTTAAAAAAAAAAAAAAGAAAGCAGATACACAGTGGGATGCCGATGCACACAGGTTGCGTTTAGTATGGTTAGTGCCTCGCGGGCTGCAGGGGAGAGGAGAGAGAGAGAAACTTGGGGTAAGAATGTGCCTCCCTCCGCCCTCCAGCCCTCCACCAAGTTTGGGGAATCATGTAAGTATTCTAGGCCATGGGTACCTCTACTGGTAACATCCTCCTGCACGTCTCCCTCTGTAGTGGCCCAGCAGGAGAAGACCCCACCGCCTAGGCCCAACCTGCTGGAGGCAGGCAGCGATGGCTGTGAGGAGCCCAAGCAGCAGGTGTCTTGGGAGCAGGAGTTCCTTGTGGGAAACAGCCCTGGAGGCAGCGGGCGGGCACTGTGCATGGTGTGTGGGTCCGAAATCCGGTCCCCCTCTGCCGACACGGCGCGCATGCATATCCTGGAGCAGCATCCTCACACCCTGGACCTGAGCCCTTCAGAGAAAAGCAATATCCTGGAGGCCTGGAGTGAGGGAGTGGCCCTTTTGCAAGACATCAGAGCTGAGCAGCCTTCCTCGCCCACCTCAGGTAGTTGGAAGTGAGGGTCGGGTGGAGGATGAAGGGAAAAGTCAAACTCACAGAGCACTTGGAGCTCACTGGGTGTTTGCCTTCTTCAGACTCAGGCCAGGATGTCGAAGCTGACCCGGACTCCGACCCAGACCCTGCCAAAATGCCAGCAGAGATCGTTGTTCTCCTCGACTCTGAGGACAACCCATCTCTCCCGAAAAGGAGCCGACCCAGGGGACTCCGCCCCCTCGAGCTTCCTGGTCAGTTTTTGGGAAGCCCTTGCGGCTGAGCTGGGGAGAGGGGAGTGCACATTCTGTGTTCTGTGTGGAGAGAGGATACAGGGCCTAGGTGTGGCCCCTTTCAAAGGTACAAGGTCTTCTCATTCTGTAGCTGCCCCTGCCTCAGAGGCAGGAAATAGGAAGCCCCGTGGTCAGAGATGGAAGGAGCCCCCTGGAGAAGAACCGGTCAGAAAGAAAAGAGGCAGACCCATGACCAAAAACTTGGACCTGGACCCAGACCCTGACCCAGGTGAGGTAGAGGCCCATGACGGGTGTGGGCTCCAGGCGCAGTGCTTCAAGAGGAAAGTCACGCCAGGGCAGGGGGCGGTCCAGGCCTCTGGACTCTGGCTTCAGTGGCCATAGGCAGCACAGTCTTACAGACTGTTCTCTCCTGTCCTTCCTTCCAGACCCCCCATCACCTGACTCACCCACGGAGACTTTTGCTGCTCCTGCTGAGGTCCGTCACTTCACCGACGGCAGCTTCCCCCCGGGCTTTGTCCTCCAGCTCTTCTCTCACACACAGCTAAGGGCCTCAGACAGCAAGGACTCACCCAGAGAAGGGGTCGCTGCAGAAGGAGGCCTTCCCCAGCCAGAAAGCCCCTCTCCAGGTGAGCTCCTGGTAGGGGACGACAAGGGTGGGTTGGGGAGAGCCAGGCTACATCCCTGGGGTCTGGCCTCCTCAAGGCTGCTCTGCAGCAGAGCCTGGGATACAGGTAGTTACTGCTCAGGGCCCCTGAGACGCAGGGCCGAGGGCGGGCAGACTAGAATGATGGGGACTGGCCAGCAAGCTGAGCCGCCGCTCTGTTAGCTCCTGGGGAGTGTCCTGGAATTGGTTGTTAGGTTGGGCTAAGCCAGTACTCCCCAGAGCCTGACACCTATCAGCACACTTATGGCTGATTCCTCCCGGAACCTGAGGTGCCTAGCTCGCCCTGGTGGAGTCAGGGCCCGAGTGGGACTGGAACAGAACAGACCCCTGGTGAACTCAGCAGGCACCTCCGTAGAGAGAGCAGCTCAGTGACTTTTGAATGATAGCATGAAGTGCTTGCGTTTGTATCATGTTCAACCAATTTCAAGAAACTTCTATATGTAGTTCATCTGGCCCTTAGAAAAGTCTGTTTTCCATGTGGGAAGGCTGAGTCTCAGCTGGTTCTTCCCTCCCTTGATCCTTGTATTCGTTTCCTGTGGCTGCTATGACAAACTACCACAAATCTTAGTGGCTTACAAGAATACACTTTATTACTTTTCAGTTCTGGAAGTCAGAGGTCTAGAATGGGTTTCATCCATCTAAAATCGGCAGGGTCCTGTTCTTTTCTAGAGGCTCCAGCAGGGGGTCGCTGGGAGGTAATCCATTTTCTTGTCCTGCCCAGCTTCTTAGAAGCTGCGAGCATTCCTTGGCTGTGGTCTCCTTCCGTCTTCAAAGCCAGCAGTGGCCAGTAGAGTCTTTCTGAGGATGTCATCTTTGTTCTGACTCGTCTGCCTCCCTCTCCCCCCCCCCCGGGACCCCTGTCATCCTATGGAGCCCACCCAGATCATCCAGGACAATCTATTTTGAAGTCAGCTGGTTGGCAACATTAATTCCATCTACTGCCTCAATTCTCCTTTGCCACCTAAGATAGCATAGTCAGAGATCCTGGGGATTAGGGAGTGGATATCTTTGAGCAACACAGTCATATAGCCAGGCAGTGGCTGGATTCAGATTAGACAAGGACATGCCTTGGGAGGGCAGAGGCTGAGCCTCATTCCTCTTCATCTCTCCATGCCAGGCGCCTCGGGCTCAGGAAATGTTTTTTTTTTTTTTTTAAGGTTTTATTTATTCATGAGAGACACACAGAGAGAGAGAGGCAGAGACACAGGCAGAGGCAGAAGCAGGCTCCATGCAGGGACCCCGATGTGGGACTCGATCCCGATCCCGGGTCTCCAGGATCAGGCCCTGGGCTGAAGGCAGCGCTAAACCACTGAGCCACCCTGCTGCCCAGGAAATGGCTCTTGAAGGAGTGACCAAGTTACACACAGAGCACTTTGTCGTGGCCTGCCTGAAATAGTGCATTCGGAGTTAGAGCCCAGGGAAAGCTAGCACGGGAGGTACCAGGGGCTCCCCAGAGCAGGGATCTCAAAAAGGAGGTGGACTTTTTGTACATAGAAAAAGAAAAAAAAAAAAAAAGAAAGAAAGAAAGAAAAAGAAAAAGCAAATATGCCCCTTCTCTTGCCCACCCCACCTCACTCAACAGTGGTGAGCACTGTTAATAGTGCGTTTTGTGTCTTGAGACCTCTCACGAAGCTCAGCGTGTGCCTGTATGTGTGTACACGCACTTTTCCCTGAATTCTATTTTACCAAGATAGGCTCTGTTTTTTCTCATCTTGAGGCAGGCGTCAGCTCTTCACGTAGATCACGGTCTTAACTGTCTCAAGTTTCAGCTTGAGCCACATTCCAGTCCTGCCTCCCCGAGACTGTGTGCTCTGCTTGGACTTGAGCGTTCCCTGAGCTTCCTCGTTCTCTTCGGTGGATCACTGCTTTAAATGGCTGACTGCTTCCACTGTTTAATGGGTCTTCTGGTTTCATTCACGAAAGGGAGCCTTCATTTTGAAACCTGGGATACCCTGTGCCCCAATTCACCTGTCTGGAGTGGTGAGTAGCTGAGAAGGGAGTCCCTGAGACCTCACATTCCTTTGGGGTGCGTGGGCAAAGTCTGAGGCCTTGGGATACATGAATATAATTGACATGAGAGGGTTTTTCTCAGCAGGTGGCAGAATCTAGGGAGGTTGGAGGTGGCGGGAACACACAGTGGACGCTGTGTACGTGTTCCTGCCTGTAGCCAGGCTGGGCCCTCAGGGGAGTACTATGGAAAATAACATGAGTGAGGACAGAGTTTCTCTGTCCCCAAGAAATTTACTGTCTGTTTGAAGGTACAGGTTGGAGGAGTGACGCAGCCACTGTAGTTCTTGCAGAGCAAAGGCTTCCAGAGCGGTGGCCACAGACTGGGGATCCCAAAGCTTGGGCAGATTTCTCAAAACCCTGTGAGGCTTCAACCAGAATGTCTTCATGTTGAGTTGCTTTTTGTATTGAAGTACTTAAAAGATTTTGAGTAAAAGATTCTAATTCTGTCAGTTTAAAAAAGTTTAAAAGTCAAGGATTTAGAAATTGGTGAGGTCACTACGGTGAGGTCAGCTGGAGCTGATGGATCACAGTGTGAAGCAGAGGAGACTTTCTGGAGCTTTCCAAAGGGCTTTGCAGGAAGAGGGAGGGGAAGTGTCCAAGCCAGAGAGAAGGTAAGCCTTGAGGACCCCACTCACAAATTGTAAGAAAAAGCCTCTTTGTCTTGCTAGTATTTGATTTGAGTAAGATCTAGAGACCTGGCTTTTAAAAGATACTTCGGCCAGGTCCGGTATGTTTCCAGGCTGGACCAAGGAAAAGGTGTGTGTGTGTGTGTGTGTGTGTGTGTGTGTGTGTGTGTGTGTACGTGCGCGCACGTGTATGCATGCGGGAACCTGTGCACATGAGTGTGAGCATGTGTGAATTTCACAAGGGACAGGGTCTTTGTTCTATTTGCTGCTATATCCTCAGTACTTGGTATCATACCTGGCACAAAGAAAGCTCTCAGTAAAGCTTTATTGAAATAGTGGGTAGTGGCTGCCTTCACCGTCATTTGGTGGTAACATTTTCAGAGTCCCCGAGCAGAAACAAGCCTTAATGAGAAACAGGAGAAAAGGACTCAGGCCCACCCTCTGGAGAAGGTGTGTTCGTGGACACACACATGCACAAATGTAGAGGAGAGAGGAACAGAGCTGGGGAAGCAGAGGGGTTTGGGCTTCCCAGGAGGGAGGAGGGCCAGCCCTGGGTTTGGAGTGCAGATGGGGCTCAGCTTGTCCCTGGGCTGATAGGTTCTTCTGGCTTGCTCTTTCATGGCCCTGGGGCTTTGATCATGCATGCTTTGTGGAAGGGCATCACAAGTCAGGCCTCACTCTCCTGAGGCTCCCCTCCACACCCACCCTCACCTCTGCCCTCTATGCTACTGGTACTTAATCCTGTTGCTTTGAGAAGTCCTGAAATTCATGAGCTCTTACCATGTGCCAAACTCTTAACATCTTTGTGTAATCTGTCTCCTTAAATTCCCACAACCACCATACACAGTATTTGGGGAAGAGGACACAGCCTTGGGGAGGCAAGGCATTCTCAGGGCCCCTCACCTAGTAAGCGACAGCATGTGTGCATTTCCACCTGTGTCCTTCTCCCCTGCAGCATCCAAGCCACATCCTCTGCCTTCTCATTGCTGCTGGAGCTAAACCCCGCTAGCAAAGCTTGGCCCCCTGGGCCTCTCACTAGACCCCAGCTGTCTGCCTTGCTAGCCACCATTTCCTCTGTCCTCTGCTCTCTGTCCGGTTTTCCCTCTCCTGTAGATTGCATCCGGCAGCCGATGCAAGCTGAGATTTCCCCCTGGCCCCCTCATCCCTCGCTAGCCACTGTCCCATTTGTCGCCAAACTTTTTCAGCAAGGCTGGGGACTATTTTCTGCACTAACCAGCCCTCGTCTCTCTGGGAGCCGCTTCAGCCCAGTTCCCATCTTCCAGCCTCATGCTGACGTGGCTTTTCCAACAAGGTCACCATTGACTTGTCTAAAATGAAAATCCAGTGGTCGATTCTTAGTCCATGCCCTTCCCGATGTGACAAAACAGTGACCCCAGCTCTCAGCCTTTCCCAGAGCCACTTGCCATCTGTGGGCTTCCCAGGCAACCTTCTGGGTTTTCCTCTAGCCTCACTGGCTGTTCCACTTCTCTTTCACACATGGCTCCCTGAGTCGGATCTGCTGGTTATCTTTCCTCCTCTTTTTCGAATGTAAGCTGTTTCAGGTCAGGATATGTGTCTGTTTCATTTCCTGTGATGCACCCGGCAGACGATCTATGTGCTGCCCACGTGTCTGGTGCGTGAGTGGTTAAGTGAGTGACCGGATACCAGATACCTCAACCAGCAGGGCCTTCCTCACTCCCAAAGCGATCCAGCCCCAAGTTCATCTACTCCCAGCTCCCAGCCAGATCTGCCGATTCCAGCCTCTCTTCCAGATGCCCATGTGACAGGTCTGTGATTGTAAGATCTGTCACACTGAACACCCCCACTCCCACCCCCGCCCCCAGCCACATTCCTCTTCCCAGCCTCCTCTCCCCTCTTGCATTCTACACTTTGCTCAGGCTTAATCCTGGCGTCATCCTCTTCTGTTTCTCAGACTCCACAAGAACCTCCCGCATATCCTGTTAGCCCCACCTCCAAAATCCATTCAGAATTCATCCTCCTGTCCGCCCCCCCCCCCCCCCCAGGCTGCCCTGGTCCCAGCCATCTCTTGCCTGGTTCCTTTAACAGTCCTCTCCCTGGGCTCCTGGCCTCTGGTCTTTGCCCGCTATGGTCTCCTCTCCTACGGTACAGGGTCCCCAGTGCAAACCAAGTTGGGCGCCGTCACTGCTATTCCTGTTACACTCCAGAAAAGAAGCCAGAGTCCTCCTGGTGACTAGTGATGTTCTCCCCAGGATCCCACTTCTACCCTATCCCACCCACTGCATAGGTACTGGCCTGCTGTGAAAGATCCTTCACAAAACAGACATCAGGACAGTTGCAGTTACCATGTCCGGTTCTGATTTCCATGTAAAGTACTTTTGCGCATTCCCATGTGGTAGGGGATGCTTTCATGGCTGCGCAGTCGCTGTGGGGGTCTGCTCTCCCCTCCTTGGGGTCCTGGCTTTGCTTATTTGGAACAGCTCCTCCCCACAGTTATGGTAAACATCTGATCTCCCCATGTGGTGGGTCCCGATGGGAGGTGAAGGGCCTGGTGGGGCTCGCAGAGCAGAGCTGGGACTCTAACCCAGGACTGGCCATCAGGTTTTCTCTCCTTTCCCTCTGTATCCATTTGTGAGCCCCGTAGTGGGCAGAGCCATCTTCTTTTTGGGGTGTTCCCCACCCCCACCACCTCTGCCCACAGAGGCTGGAGTGTCCAGTGAGTTTTAGATGAAGTGGAGTGAGCTGAAGTTACATAAGAGGTGAGCATACAGCAGTGAGCATGTGTGTACCAAAACACATGGGGGAGGAAGCCAACAGGGTGTGCCCGACTTCTACCTAAGAAGCAAGGATCTCTCTTTTGGTTTGTTGGGGTCCTTGGATGAACCAAGAGTGGAGCTTCCCGCTGTCCCTTGGGCATACCAGGCCCTGGACTGTGGAAAGGAAGAGCTAGAAATGGTGGTGCAGAAGTCTTCAGTGGCCATTCTCGGGATGGGGGTCCAAAGGGCCCTGACTTTTGCTCTCTGCTCCCATCCCTGCCCAGCTCCCCCTCCGGGGCTTCGCGGGACGCTGGATCTCCAGGTTATCCGCGTACGGATGGAGGAGCCCCCGGCAGTCAGCCTCCTGCAAGATTGGTCCAAGCACCCCCAGGGCACCAAGAGTGTGGGAGGAGGTGACCCCCCGAACTGGCCTGTGGTTCTGTCAGAGTCCAGCACCACCATGGGGAGGCAGCCAGAGGCAGGGAGTGGCATGTAGGTTCTCGCTTTCCTGGGGAGGGAGGGAGGGAGGAGGCAAGGTCCCCCTTTGGCTTATCACTCAGAGCTGCCCAGCTTGGCCACCTGATGGAGAGAGTAAAACCAGGTGCCAAGGCAGGATGGAGGAGAGGATGGGGGGCAGCATCCATGTTACTTGGGGGCACTGGAAGATGTTGACCCCTGGCAAGGCACAAGGCCAGGCCCTGGGAAGGGCAAGGCTGGCCTCAGGGCTGTCGTATGGTAGGGCATTGGGCCTGTGGAGAACACCTACCCCAATCCTTTTGCTGACCCAGACCTCTCCGTCCCCCTTCCGTCCCCCCTCTTAGCCCCCACCATTCTCCCTTGGCACAGTGCCTTACATAAGAGGTGGTCACGATGGGGTTTGAACTGAGTCCCACTACCTCGGGGGACGCCTCTCCTCCCCCACCTGTTCAGGCTCCTAAACCAGGAGGCCTCCATTACCTCTTCCCGCTCCATCCCTGCAGGAGGCCCAAGCAGACCACCTGAGGGCTTTGTTCACTCCCTCCTTTTCACTTACTTTCCTGTTGTATATATCTCCTTTGTTGACAATAAATTATTTTTTTTTATTAAGAGAGTACTGTCTGGGTTATCATTGGGGGAAGGGGTTTGCTAACAGGATCTCCAGGCTCTTGGAGTGACCTTGAGGGGCAGGAGGGCTGGAAATTTGTCCTGGGTGGGAGGGCAGAGCAGGGCCAGGGTAGGGCCTCATTGGCTCCATGGAGGTGTGGGGCTGACTTGGTGCGAGTCACAGAGAGACCCTGCACCCCTTCTCCCAGCCCTTGAAATGGGGTCAGAGGGGATCCCTGGGTGGCGCAGCGGTTTAGCGGCTGCCTTTGGCCCAGGGCGCGATCCTGGAGACTCGGGATCGAATCCCACGTCGGTCTCCTGGTGCATGGACCTGCTTCTTCCTCTGCCTATGTCTCTGCCCCATTCTCTCTGTGTGTGTATGACTATCTTTAGTAAATAAAAATTAAAAAAAAAAAAAAAAGAAATGGGGTCAGAAACACCTCTTCTTTGGGATGCCTAGGTGGCTCAGCGGTTGAGCATCTGCCTTCAGCTCAGGTCGTGATCCTGGAGTCCCAGGATCAAGTCCTGCATCAGGCTCCCTGCAGGAACCTGCTTCTCCCTCTGCCTCTGTCTCATGAATAAATAAATCCAAGGAAGGGAAGGAGGGAGGGAGGGAGGGAAAAGAAAACACCTCCTCTTTAATGTTTTGTACCTTCTGACTCACCTAGTGAACCTTGTCCCAGAGAGCCCACGGTGGGGCACAGGGGCTAATTACACCCTACTTGTTGACCTTCTAAAGTGAAATGGCTGAGGCAGGCGTGTGGTGCTTTACTCTAGCCCACCCTCTCCCTGGCTTGATTAAAAACTCCCTCCTGTGCCTGGTTTCCCCATTCCCTGGACCAAGAGATGGCCCATTCTGGGTTTCTTCACCAGATCCCTTACCCTCCTAAACCAACATCACAGGCCAAATCTATGTGGAATCTTGTTTCTCTCCCATTAGTGATAATGGGCACAGAAGAGGGACACGGGGAGCTCCCTGCCAGACCCCAAACCCCACTGTCATATTTAGAATCCAGAGGCAAGTGGAGCATCAGGACAGTCCACCCCCTGCACCAGGACTGCTTTCCTGCTCCTGATAAATACTGCGTATTGGGGCAGAGATGAGGCCTTGATAGCACTCTGAAGGAAGAGTTCACCTACAACACTGAGCTAGCTGGGTTTTGAGACTAACCGGAAAGCTAGTCTTGAGATCAGGAGGGGTCTAGGTATGAGCATACTGCAAGCATGCTGGGTGCTGCTCTGAGCTGGTGTCACCCAGATGGGGGCCAGGGGTGGGCAGTCTCTGTGTGGTGGCTTCCCGGGATGTGGTCCTTTCTCCCTAACAAGCTTGGGAGAAGGAGGGCAAAGCTGTAGGGCCCTTGTCACAGGGGATAAGAAGGCACAGATATGGTTCAGAACACTTTGTGTCTCGGGTGGCTTCACCAGTGCGTGACAGGTGGGCCACAGACCTCCACTGCATCTCCACCACTGTTTCTGCAAACTGGTAAAACTTCTCTCCCACTTAACAGGCAGGAAGGAATAAGGCTGAAAATCAGGCTTTGAATGTGAGTTACTGTAGGTGAGGTCTTTCTGTCCTTCACACAATCACATGACTGTTTACATTTATGCCAGCATGCTTTTCAGTTGATGTGGCTGTGTTGCTGGATGTTTAGTTGCTGAAGTTCACTGTAAAATTGAGACATTCAGTGCACCTTTGCTGCTGTTGATGTGATTGATGGCTGGCTCACTAGACTGTGAGCTCCTTTTGGGCAAGGACTAGGCTGCCTTGACTTTGTTTCCCTAGGGTCCTGCTTGGGCCCAGCACATAGTAGGTGCTCAGTTGTCAAGCGCTCTCTTGATGTGTCTTCCCATGCAACATTTTCCCAGGGCAAGCTGGTCTCTAGAGTGTGCGCGGCTCCCTTCACGGGGTGGCAGCCACAGTGGCTGCAGGTGGCACAGTGGTTCCGTGACTTCATCCTCACATTCTTGGTTGGCAGGAGTCCGCCCAGCCTTGGCCAGGACCCTAGGGACTGTATGAGTGCGTGTGGCTGGAGCTCTCAGTGGGCACCTCTGGGCTTCCAGGGAGAGATGAAGAGCGGAGCCGAGGACATGATTCCACCTGGAGTACAGAAGTTTCCTAACATTGGTGACTCAGAGCTTGGTGGGGGAGTCCCTCTTCCACCCCTGTCTCTGACAACTCCAGACCAGATGCTGCTGCAACCGTTTACCCAAACGCCAAGGAAGGCTCACACACTAGCAGTGACCCGGGGCTGGTGGTGGCAGCTTTCTCCAGATGGGATGCCGAGGCCCAATCACAATGCTGAGTGAAGGGGTTGGGGAAGAGGGTGCCACTGCCCCCAACTCTTTTTTTTTTTTTTAAATAACTTAAGCCAAAGTATTTTTTTTTAAGATTTTGTTTATTTTTTCATGACAGACACAGAGAGAGTCAGAGAGAGAGAGAGAGAAGCAGAGACACAGGCAGAGGGAGAAGCAGGCTCCATGCAGGGAGCCTGATATGGGACTTGATTCCAGGTCTCCAGGATCACGCCCCGGTCTGCAGGCGGCACTAAACCACTTGGCCACGGGGGCTGCCCGCCCCCAACCCTTGATACCCTGGCCTCTAATTCCCTTTGCTTTCCAAAATGGGCCATCCCTTGCTGTTCCCAGTTGCCGTCCTCAGGGTCCAGGTAGGGGAGAGCTTTCTGGATACCAGTAATAGCTGTGTAGTTAAAGCTAGTCTAGGACAAAGGAAGAAACAGCCCCTTCCCTCCTCAAAGAGAAACTGGTGTGTGTAAGTGTGTGGTTGGGAAGAGAAGACACTGGCTGGGCCCCATGTGACACCCCAGCTATGTCACTGGTCTGGTCCAGACTGGACTGCTCCTACAATCTGACCCCGCCCTGCCTCTCTCACACACAGCTGTGTAGCTCTGTGGTTCAAATGAGACTGTCAAGTCCTCATACCCCCAAGGGGTGGTAGAAGGATGGGGAGCTGGAGTGGGAGAGCATTTCCGATGGGACAGCAGCCTCTCAGTGTCACCCCACCCGCTCTGTTGGGAAAGAGGCACCATCTGACCTCCCCATGGGCAGCACGGGCAGGGAGGGGCTGCTGTTTTGTAGGCATAGCGACAGGTAAAGTGTGTCTGTTTTCCAGCCTTCCCAGGACCAGATATTGGCCCAGAGCCTTCACACCAGATCCGGTCAGTCCCTCTCCCCTCTAGAGGGAACAGCCTCATTCCACCCAAAGGACACATCAGCCTTCAGAGGAGGAAGCAGTGCAGGACTTCTGGTCTAACAGCAATCTCAGTGCCTCGGATTTCCTCAGACCCCACTCTCTGGGTGGCCTGAGGAAGCAGGAGCAGCAAGGGAGCCAGGGGCCAGGGCAATTACTCTTTAGGGCTCAGATTCTACAGACACGAATGAAGGCCCCAGGGGACAGGCAGAAACTACAGAGTGCAGGCAGGACACCCGCTGTGTCCCCACTGTGGGTCACCCCACATTGTGCCCATTATACAGGTGAGGGATCAGCCACAGCAAGACGAACAAGGTGACTTGCCTGCCACTCCAGAGCTGGTGAGGGAGCAGAGCAAGTCTGAGCCTGGATCTGTCTGACCCCAGGGCTCTTGTCTCCCACAATGCATGGCCTGTTTCTGCTTCAGGACTGATACCTCTTCCCTTGAGAGCCTGGGAACTTGTGGTAGGTTCAGGGTGTGAGGCAGAAATGGAGTCAGGTGGGAGTGGGGAAGGTCTTCAACTGTGACAAATGCTCAGCACCTCCTTTGCTCCCCTCAGATGATGATTCCCTGTGACCTCACCATGCCAATTTCCAGAGCGCCCCCACCCCCAGGTCCTAGTGAGTAAGGAAAGGGTTAAGGTATAGGCAGGGAAAAGTAGGGGACCCCTGAGTAAGCTCTGACACTAGTCCTGGCAGGCAAAAGCGCATAGCCAGAGTGAACAAGAGATAAGGGAACAACAGACCAGACCACCTGGCCCAGGATGTTAGGGAGTATTTTTCTTTGGTGGCTACAATGTAATCACAGAAAAATGACCAGACCTCAAAAAAAAAATACAGCATTAAGGGTGTTATCTATAGTCCTTGCTGAAACCAAGATGGCACAAGAATCTCAAGGCCTGGTACAACAATGTCCATGTGAGCTTGGACTGCTCTAGGGAGAGGGCATAGGGAGCTACTCCTAACCCAGAACCTGCCCTTCCCCCACACCCCTCCCTGGCCTAAAGTGAGTCCTCTTGCCCATGGCACCCACATATTCCTGGGTGAGCAGTTTGCCTCTGAGACACTCACCCACAGTGTCACCAAAGTCACAATGGGGGTTGAGACAACTGCACATGTACAGTAGT